ACTTGTCAAGATCTTTCCTCCTCTCTTCTTCGTTTATTTGCCTTCTCTAGCTGGAGGGTGGCTCTATGGCCAAGCTGATTCCAAGGAATACACCGATCCCGGTCATTAAAAAGGACATATTTACTACCGTAATCCACAATCAGGACAGTGTAATTACGGCTATCTACGAGGGCGAGCGAGCATTTGTGAAGGATAACCATTTCCTGGTACAATTCGAGCTCACTGGCATTCCGCCTGCTCCACGAGGTGTGCCACAAATTGAAGTCACTTTTGAGATAGACGCCAATGGAATTTTAAAGGTATGTTTAAAATCATTTTGCTTTCTCGCATTCGTTGAGGTGCCTGCCTCTTTCAAGGTGTACTCGTTGAATGAGCACAATTTTACCTTGGGCCTGGTGATCACCGACAAATTTTGTGTTGTTTTATGCTCAGCTTTTGATGTAGAGTACCTCGTCATTTAGACTCCAAATCTCTTGCCAAACACCAATTATCCCAGTCTTGTATAGTCTGCACCAATTCCGAGTATTTCTGGGCGAGAAAAGGGCTTTTCTGTCTAACTTGCTTTTAAGGGTCATGACTTCTGATGAAAGGATGCTAAAGTGGCATTCTCCTGTACCTGCAGCTTTTTCCTGCATGTTGGATCCATATTTGAGTACATTCGGAGATGGATGAGGCAGAATCAAGCGTCATCCTCATCAGCGCCCTCAACGAGCTTCGAATCAGTGTCGTTCATTTTGTGGCGATGTAACCACTCCACTAAACATCCACTCGTGCCAGAGGGTCACATGGCAAATAGGGCATTTTAAGCAACCTAGGCATCTTCCAAATCACATTTGTAGCGTGTTTGTTGATTAAGTCAACATGTGAGATGTATTCACCATATTTCGTTTCAGGTGATGAATGCTTGGTAGCTCATTTTTCCCACAAGGATATGAATAGAGCTGACGTTTCTATTGAATCTCGCATAGCCTTGCTTTCCCAAAAGGTGTTCTCATTCAGGGTGGACTGCAGTTTCGATTTGGCATAGGTCTTAGCAACACCGCAGGCGCGAGTTGAACCATGACAGTGCCGCATGTAAGCTCGACATCTTAGCTACTACGCCACAGTGCCCTTGGGTCACAGGAAGGATGCGGATTTCAAGGAATGTCAGGCATTTTCCCATATCACATTCTTTTGTGCGCTTGTCGATAAGGCAAACGTAATTTTGCTGCAACAATCGTTTAAATTACTTAGAAAATCCGCTAATATACTAAAAATAAGCCAACATGAGTTTGCCATTTTAATTGATGATGGCACTGAGCTTCGTTGCGATTTGCCTTCGATATTATTGAATAAAACCTCGTTCAATGTTTAGTTGACTGCACATTTACGACCCGGTGTCAAATCCCATTTGGGGTGCTGAGGAGGCCTAGGTCAGATCGAAACCGCACTCTAAACTGGAATCGAAAACCTCTTTGGGAATGAAATTTGTTGACATCGAAAGACCTATTCATTGAATTGTAATCCAATTGAAATTCATTCTATTAGGACTCACTTTATTGAAGCTCACTTGAAACTCAATTGAAATTCACTTTGTTTAGCCTTGAAATGAAAATGTATTTTAAGTAAAATGAATATTATCACAAACCCAACTTATGGAAATTAAGCTCAATTTATATTCACTTCCCACTCACTTCGTGTTTACTTTATGCTCACTTCATTGGGACTCAAATTGAAATTGTTCAATTGAAGCGCAATTAATTTGATCTCAGTCCAGTCTGGAATCGAATGCATCTTGAAAAGAGTGGCTAAGTGAGGCTTACTTATTGAAAGGAAACTCAAATGATACTCATTTGAAACAAATCACTAGAACTAATTAAATTAAGACTTATTTAATTGAAAGTCCCTTAATTTAATAGGAAGTATAAAGACCAAAAGGGTGTGGCCTTTTTAGTGATCGCGGTCTCATTTCTTTGTATGGTAGTTATTTGATCTTGACATATTGGCAGGAAGGCCTAAAGGAAAGCATCTTTTCTTGAATCCACAGTATGCATGCTAATTTTCATAGTCAGATGGTGGACAGGCGTTTCGCCGGCATCTTCAGAGAACCTTGCTACTCTTAGCACCACATTACAACTCGTCAGAGAGACAAGTGAAACCGATCTCTCGACCAATTGGCTACTAAACAGTTGTGGTATCTCTTCTTAGATCCTTGGCTATTCACCAATCCTACATCCTCGTACCACCTATTCACTGTCACAATTTCTTAATTGCTTATTTAAATGTGGTATGGTGTGTCATTTTGAGCGGAATTCATGAGATCCATTCACATCCCTTGCTGGCTTTCTCACACCCGCACCCTTGTGCTGGGAATGTTGATCCAAGTTTACCATAATCGTCTGCAACACTCTTCCAATTGGTCCTATCATAGTCTCCCTCTTGCCCCTTAGGCTCAGCCTCCTACCTTCCTGGTTCAGGTATTTCACTCGACTCCTGCCACCCTATCTGTACTACTCGAAGAATTATTTCCCACACTG